GTTTTTATTTCTTTTGTCATAAATTCTATGGACCATACCAATATTCCGACGATCCTGCAGATGGGATTATCTTATGATAAATATGGAAATAATCTTATAATATTATATATATTATATATATAAAAACAATTCAACAAATATGGTGCATAATATACGACATCACATTATTTCAGAATAATTTAATTTTTAATTTTTATCTTGACTCTAAGCAACATCGGCTACATTAGTATTTAAATAGCTTTATTATGTTTATAATGAGTGAAATCCTAATGAATGACTTAAGAGTACGTAACAGTGGAATTTGTTGTATCCGTCTTACCAGTGCGTAATATACTAATATAGCAAATTTACGCTCAGCAGAACACTTGTAGCTCCTTTAGTTTAAAAATTACAGTGAATCGACCTATTATGAAACTTGATGGTAAGAACATTATCTGTGTTTGTACGTTGGKTTTTTACGATAATTCAATTTTTAAGCRAGTKATGAGCATATAATATACAGTACATTAAAAATGCTGATAATTCACTTAAAATTGAATTATTGTCAAAAATCAACGTACAAACACAGATAATGTTCTTACCATCAAGTTTCATAATAGGTCGATTCACTGTAATTTTTAAACTAAAGGAGCCACAAGTGTTCTGCTGAGCGTAAATTTGCTATATTACGCACTGGTAAGACGGAGACAACAAATTCCACTGTTACGTACTCTTAACAACACGTGGTATGTATCGAGCGTACGGAATAATGCACGTATTTTAAGGTACACAAATGCATACGTTTTTTAGTTATAATATTCGTTTATGATATTGCCGGATTTTCACATTCTTTTACATGTAACATGTTAATGTATTATCTGACGTTTTTGATTTGTTTTTTTTTTCAATCACAAATAATAATAATATGGGTAGTATTAATAGATGTCAAAATCACACAGAAAACAGTTCGGTCAAATGTGATTTTTTGGGCTATTTTGACGGTCCATTGTTTGTTAAAATGTATAAATAATTGTATTTCCAAAAATATATTCACCGTTTATAATTTTGTTTGTTTTTATTGATTTATCGTCCATATTTCCTTAGTGAGGTATTATCAAATTTTGATTTTTAAATGGCAATCTGTTATTTAAATCTTATATAACATTTTATGAATATTAAGTTACACTTATAAAACGTACTTCTATGAAAATGTTAACGAATGAATATACAAACATATCGAACAAATATTTTTTTTTTATATTGTAGATAGGTAGTTTAAATGAGCATAGAGTCCAGAATTTAGGACAGTAATATTTTAAACAATGATTTTTCAGTGTTGTATAGACATATAACTCTGGTTTACTATCAGCACACGATACAATAATTCTCTGAATGATAATATTAATAAAAATAACCCTAACCTTAATATAGGACATATAGGTGGGTGGTATAGTTTACAACATTACCTTCTAAAGCAGACATTTCTCGTAAATAATCAGTATGATAAATGATATAGTCATTAAAAATATTTCACTTACTTGAAGATTTACCGGAAATTGCCCACGAATTATATATACATTAGTTGTGACGTGAAAAACACTGAAATTAACCGATTTCACGTAGTATCTTATATAATACTATATTATTTTGGGTCAATGGGTTTGTTGATTGCYCTAGAATTAATTATTTMTTATTTCTAAAAAAAATTCCGTTGCAACAATATTTTAAAGAGTTAAATTGATTATAATATCTAAAGCATTTATACCTATCTCGCCCGTTTGTTTGACGTTTGTTATAAATTATTTCGATAAATCTATTTTATGGAGAAGAATATTTTAGGATGAGTATTTTTAGCAGGATATTAAATTTACAAATTAAAACATTTGTGAATAATTGTGTATGAATAAATAAATAAAAACGTCTCAAAACATGGTATGAATTTCGAAATCAAACTAACTCGCGTAATRTCTTTAATATAAATGCATGACCATATCAAAGTTAAATAAATCCAACCTMTATTTTAAATAGTTTGTTACTATAATTTTAAATTTGAGATGCACAACATTCCATCACTGATGTGAATCAAGCAGTAGAATGAATYAATCAAAATCCTATGTGTGATATTATTAAAATAGATTAGATTATTTCTGAAAGCAGATGACGTGGTTAAGAAAAAATACACCGACGTCTGATTGAAAAAAATAAGGTTTTGGTGGTAATTTATATAAGTTATAATTATTTGCTACATATACAATTTAATTTTAAAATTATACATTTTAAATGTGAAGTTTTTTATTCAACACAAAAAAGGATATATATATTATCGAAGGCATTTTTTATTCGAATTAATAATAAAACGTACAGTACATTATATTGAGTGCGATTGGTATAAAAACAATTTTATCTGAGAACTATAAATGGTTAACGACAGTTTTTCCTTAAAAAAATTTTATTTATGTATTAATGTATAAAAAGTATGCTGGTGATCTATTTAATGCGTTACACTAATTAGTAATTTTCTTATTTTATTTAATTTTAATATTTAAATCTTTTTAGGTGATCTATAACTATAAATATCAACCATTATATATATTTTAGTTATTTCATGTTATAAGACAAAATATTTATATTGAAGTTCACGTGCATAATAGATGGCAATAATAATTGCTCATATGTCTGTCAAGGCTTATAGTGGATATTCAATAAAGATTTAATAAATTTGAAAAAAAAAAAGTTTGTGTTTAAATTTCTAAATCAGACACAGTGATGTTTAGATAATATTTTTATGATTTAAAATTACATATATTTTAAGTATATAATTTTCTAAGTATAATAGTCCATAGTATGTAATTGTAAATTGGTTATTGCAGGTTTCATTGGGGCCACAGTATCGTTTGAAAGTTTTTATACGAATCTATTAACATTTTATAATTTGTCAAAAATGTTTGAGTATTATATCAAGTATTTACTAGATTAAATAGTATAAGTTAACTGTTAATGAATGTTGTGGAGAAGGCTGTTTTTTAGGACCGTACCTCAACCAAAACCGGTGGGCATAGGCGTCCAGGGTGGTCGGATACGAAAGACTGTACCTATAATAAATTATATTCACTTATAAATKCTTTGATCTTTTTATTTATGCTTTTTAAAATTTTGTTTGTGATAACAGCTTGAAAATGTAATACATTGACACTGTCAATATAGTTATTATTGCAGTCTAAAAAAAAAACAATCAAACATTTTTTTTTACTAACGTTTTAATTTTCACGGAATTCGTCAAAATCTCGAAAATATAATGTTTACTAGTTTTTATTAAAACATTCTGAATATTTTTAATTCAAACGCTTATGCTTTGGTAATTGAATTMAATTTATTTTTATACTCCGTAGTAATTCAAAAAATATTTATTGAAGAAATATGAAACATTGTACCTACTATTAGGTATCTATATAGTTCCTTAAATTATAAATTATGACATTTTTAAATAATTAAAATTAAAATTTTAAGCTATTTACATTACGAATTTAACAAGATATACACGATACCTTCTATACAACTGTGTGACTTTCCTAACTGTTTATATTCATATTTAATACATAACTYCATAGGTCTCCAACCATTTTTATTTTTTGTCAAGATAATAAAMTTTTATATTATGCGGCATTTCTATTGAAAAGCACAATTGTCTACTACAAAATACCACCCATAAAAAGTTTGACAATATTTTACGTGCGATGTATGATATATACATGGATAATGGAACATGTTGGTGTATTTATGTGTGCGATTAAAGAGGATTATAAGATTGTTATTGTGTGCAACTATGCTATACCAAATTCAATCAATCAAATTCTATGATAACTGTTAGGAAGTTTTTATTTATTTTTTTGAAGTGGATCCATTTATCAATTAATTATATACATTTTTATGATATAATTTTAATGAATAATAATAATACAATATACCTAATAACTTCAAAACACTACTACAAAATACAAATAAGTTATTTCAATAATATCAATGAAAAAATACACCATTCAAACACATTTCCAAAAATATACCTTGTCATTGAGTAGGTCACAGTATATGTGATAGATGTGTTCAATTTGAATTAAATRACAAATAAATGGTGATACAATGATGCACGACAAAAAAAGATTCCAAATGGAGACGGTCCGTGACAATCATGATTAGGTACCAAATTATTTTTTTGACTAATAATATCACAATCTTAGGAAAACGTAATATTTTTAAAAAATGTATTGGACATTTGGATCTCAAAGTAAAAACTAGATTCATTACCATCAACCACAGAAACCTTCCTCAAAGTTGATTATCGAAAAATGTAYAGGTAAATATTATTAATTATAATAAATAAACCTATATYATACTATACAAATATAATATAGGTTTATACAGTGGATTGACACATGTTTGTCTTTACCAAAAATCAATGACTATCACAAGCGAGTATAACATTATTATGGTGAATCAAAGACTGTGCGTTGATTCACAGATGTCTGTGTATACCAACTTGATAGCAGAATCTATATGGGTAGTACGACCAGTATAAACACAGATTATATGACGTGTAATGCACATCAACAGATGTGTATAATATTATACAACCATAGATATTTGTAATACGCATTATAGTACGTCGCACATACATAATATCTGCGGGGTTCGATCACAGTTTACCGTACAAATTGGGCATAGGTATATTGCAGAGACGTCTTATCCTTGTTTATAATATTATTATATCTGTGGTTTAACGATGACTACAACGACAACGACCGCTGCTGTCAGCGGCGCGCAAACAAGAAGACAGACAATAGTAAAGTATAGTAATCGTTATAGTTGTAGTAGTAAACAGTAGTAATATAGTAATAAATATAACGACGAACAGGAACGCGCGTTGATTCGCTGGCCCGTGACAGCGGTGATAGTGCGACGGCGGCGGCGGCGACCACTCCACACCACGCGCGCGCGTTTCCGAGTCGCGGCGAAACGCTCGCACAAGGCACCGTTGGTCGCGTCTTCCGCACGCCACAACGTCCGTCGCGCCCAAACCGCAAACACCGCCGCTRTCGAGCYGTTCGTCGCCAYCGTGTCGTCTCCGCGGACTTCGTTTTTGATCTCGTGTGATAAACACGCTGTACATCTGCCTGTATAATATTATCATAATAATATCAAAACGATAAATTTGAATCGCGTCCGTTTTTGAACAGAACGCATTTCTCGCGATCGGTCATACGATACTATACGAACGCATAATACGGTGAATAACAATCATTTTGCTGTCGAGTGCAGACACATTGGCGTTTTCACTCGTCTATTCAACATATTAATCTTTCGCGGGATTTTTTTCGTTTTCTCGTTTTTGCCGCAACAACCGYCACTCGAGTATTTTTTTCGCMACCACTGCAGTCCACCCGAAAATGGATGGCACCGCTTTTCGCGCCGTCGTCCTGCTGATGTTAGCGGTATTCAAGGTGAGTGAGAGATTGGAAATTTTCRTTTTTCTTAGTTTTTAACATATTACTTGCACCGATTGACCACGGAATGGAGTGGCACTACGTCGATTTATACGTCATGCGTTAGATATGGGTACCTATGCCAAATAATTGTGCGGCCCGGTTATCTGCAATCGARAAAATTCGAACATACCTATATTATTGTACGAGTACATCAATCAGAATGTATGTATAATAAGCGAGCAGCTGTGATTGTTCTTGTTGTTTTTGTGAGTGGTGGATGACGGATGCAGTAAGGATTGACCAGTTACGATCGATTACCGGTGAACGATCAAAATCATTTCTTTCAGTAAATCAAAAAAAGAATCTAGTCTGTTCATTCAACCGATTATTGAATCTCTTAGACGCGCGTCCAATTAAATGAGAAAATTATTTTATTGTGCCCATTTAGAGTTTTAAATGTTTTAATGCTTTAAATGTCATGATATACCTACCTACGCGTCGATTGGACTAAAAATCAGTTATTGATCGTTTTTATTCMTATACGCAGTGAAGAAAAGTAGAGTATCCGTTGATTCTAGCATCACAAATATTATTATGTTAATCAATATTAAACTTAAAAAATATTTATTCTCAACACAATTTAATATTATTTAAATTGCGGTTTACGAATATGGACTAATCGTTTTATTATTATTGTTTGGACGTATCAATTATCTGCGTTCCCACAGCTGATTTTTCAACTTCTATTGTAATAGAAAATTAAAATATTTAACACGAATCTGGAAATCTAGAACAATTTGATCTACGCAATTAGAGAAATTAGTTCAAATTACATTTCAATGTTGTTCTTTTTTAAATAATTTCGGGATATTATTTAAACTATAGTTGTTATAGTTTTGTTTTTTTTTTAATATAAATATTTTCAATGAAAACAATTAAGTAAAAATATTTAATTTGATAATTTGACTTAGAAAAGAAGAAGAATTACTTGGTCTTGTGTATGTGAGAGTTTATCTGAAAACCAATACTATTATAATATACATATATTACCATTGTGTATTTGTGTCTCACCAAACAATATTCAGRTTCAATATATTTTTTTTTAAAGATTAAAAGTTTAATAAAATCACAATATTTGAAGCGTATACATCAAAATAGCAGTTCTGGTTGAAAAACTAGGTTAAACGATTTGGAGTTATTCTTGGGATTCAT